CTCGTTTCAATCGATCGATGCTGGTTACATCTGTCTTCCCAGCTTTTTCTACTGTAACTGTCTTATCTGTCCTCGTAATCACTCTAAATGGACCGTCAAAATTCGGCTGCCGAGGTGGTTGTACATTATCTCTTCTAATGAATAAATGAGTGCTATTATGTAGTTCCTGAGGTATGAATAGTCGTCGTTGTTGTAGTCTGGGAAGTGCTATTTTTAGAACGTTCATATGTTTCTTCAGGCGTTGAACGTAGTTGGGTACATCAGTCGGAACACTTTTATCTGAAGCGAAAAATTCTCCGGACAAACGTAGAGTAGTTCCATATACCAACTCGGCTGGACAACATCCCATATCCTGTTTAATTGTTGTTCTTAAACCTTACATGACTAAAGGAAGCTTATTAGCCCAATCGTTGTTGACACTGGCAGATGTAAGGGACGCTTTCAACTGCCTATGTAGGCGTTAAACCATTTCGTTTGCCATTGGGTGGTAGGATGTCGTTCGAATGCGAATTCCGAGGAGTTCTGTAAGCTGCTGGAAGAGTTGACTTTCGAATTGAACCCCTCTATCAGCTGTGATAATCACTGGTATACCATAGTAGGAAATCCAATTTTCGATAAGGGCTTTGACAACAGACTCGGCTGAGATGTCTTTTGTTGGCACCGCTATCGGTCATCTTGTGAATCTATCGATGCATGTAACTGGCAATGGTCCTACGATGTTGATGTTTATGCACTCGAATCGATTGTCTGACTGTGAAAATGAACCCATTGGCGAGCTAGTATGACGATATACTTTGACTTTTTGACATTTCATGCATGCCTGTATCCAGTTACGTACATTGCGATTTATTTTCGTCCATACGAAACGCTCGCTGATTAGCTTCACCGTGGCTTTTATTACAGGGTGCGATAAGTTATGCATGCTTTCAAATACCTTCCGTCGCAATGATTTCGGAATGAATGGACGCGGTCGGCCTGTCGATATATCACATATTACTTTTGCGCTACCAAACTGGACATCTTCGAATACTATTGATGTCGTTTCATCGGATCTTAGCTTGTTCAGTTCAATGTCTGTCTCTTGTAACTTCGCTAGACCGAAAATCGATTCCATTTGTAATAATCGCATTTATCGTTGTTCTGGATAGTGCGTCAGCTACTTCGTTTTCTTGGCCTTTAATATATCGTTTATCAGAAGTGAACTGGAAAATAAACTCTATCTGTCTGATCTCCCTTGGAGAATAATTATTTTGATTTGCGCTTAGTGCGTTCGTCAGTGGTTTGTGGTCAATGTAAACAGTGAAATCTATACCTTCTACCATATGTCGAAAATGTTTTATTGCCAAGTAAATTGCTAGTAATTCTCTCCCGAAAGTACTGTATCTCGTTTGCGTAGGATTCAGTCTCTTTGAGAAAAATGAAAGTGGCTCTAATGTGCCATTTACAAACTGTTGTAAAACAGCTCCTACAGCCACATTCGATGCATCTGTCATGATAGCCGATGGTGTTTCGCTCTTTCTTCTAGCTAATGTCGTCTTTTTGTTGAGTGCCTTCTTGGCGTTCTCGAAGGCCTGTATTGCCTCTGCTGATAATTGGAATGTCCGGGAGTGTCCCCGTAACGCATTGGTCAGTGATTGAAGTATTGCGGCACAATTCGGAATAAAACGTCTGTAATAATTTGTTATTCACAGAAATCGTCATAATTTCTTATGTGAATCGGGCAACGGATATTCTCTGATGGTATCGATTTCTGTCGATATCGGTGTAATACCTTGAGAAGTTACCATGTGACCAAGGAACTGTAAGGATCTTTTTGCAAACTCACACTTCTCAATGTTTATGGAAATGCCATGTTCTTTTATTTGCGCGAATAATAGCCGTATCTGCTGTATATGCCCGTCCATAGTAGTGCTGGCTACTAGTAAATCATCGACGTATGCGTATACTCCAGGTAAGCCTCTGATGACGTGGTCGATAAATCGTTGAAATGTTTGCGTTGCGTTAGTCAGTTCGAAGGGCATGCGTAGGAATTCATATGGTTCAAAAGGGATCCTTACCGCTGTCTTTACCATGTCCTATTGAGCGACCGGGATGTGATAGTATGCTCTAAGTTATTCTTCGAGAATACCCTAACGCCTTCTATACTGTAAGTAAAATCGTGGATGTGTAGTGTAGGCTATCTATCGGCTACTGTTTGCTTAAGTGCTCGATAGTCTCCACATGGCCTTAATTCATTCTTTTTCGGGGCCATGTGCAACGAGGATGCCCACGGGCTGTTTGAAGGCCTTAAAATGCCCAGTCTCATCAACTTGTCAAATTACTGTTTTGCAATTGCTAGTCTTTTTGGGTCTAATCTTCTTGGCCTTGCATTAACTGATGGTGCTGGATAGAATGCTTGAGATCCGCTTTACTGTATGTTACTTTTAAAAGTTCGGGAAACTCCTTTAACAATGATTTACGTGGATCATCGCGGCTTTTATCAATCACTAGATTCATGGAAACGAATTTTGTAAGTGTTCCCCTAATTGTAGTGTGACTACAGTTTATGAGTCTGTGGCGCCTTCTAAATAAAATAATTATTTGAAAGTTAAAATTTATTATGAATTTCATATAGAATCATCAATGATATAGATTTTCAGCTGAAGAGAAGGATTTCAATGAAGTTGCATTCTCTCTACTAAATAGTTTAATTAGAAAGTTTGTTTTTGTACTAGTTAATGGAGTTATAAATATAAACTATCAGATATGAATTCAGTTGCTTAATGATGTGCCTTAGGCAATTTTTTATGACATATTTAAACTAACAAATAGAGTTAAATTTAGTGTCACAAAAACGGGAACAAATTTCTCACTGAATATTGGAAACTGTTGTTTTATCTGAGCTTAAACTGTTGACAGTGTTGTTGTGACTTTTGAGTCATATGTATATGTAAATACGATTAATCCTTACTTTGGAAAATATTTGCATAATTTAACTAATCTACAAACAGAGATGATTAAAATTCTAATATCTAGTTTAAAGATAGTTTTTAAACTGATTTAAAATAAATAAAAGTAGTTTGGATAAACAAATGTTTTATTCGGATTGCATATTTATCATGAATCTAGACAAATATAACTGAAATTAATTAAATATTTTGAGGATTTTTACTTTTTTTTTTACTTAAGCCTGTTACCCCTCGTGGAAGAGCATAGTCCGCCTACTAGTATTCTTCATTTAACCCTGTCCTGGGAAATACTTTCAAGTTCTCTCCAGTTCCCATTCATCCTTTTCATATCTGCTTCTATTTCCCAGTGTAATGTATTCTTTGGCTTTCCTCTTTTTCGATTCCCTTCCGAATTTCAAGCTAGGGATTGCCTCGTGGTGCAGTTTGGTGATTTCCTTAATGTATGTCATATCCACTTCCAACGTCTTTTCCTAATTTCCTCTTCAGCTTGAAGCTGGTTTGTTCTCTCGCACAGTAGGTTGTTGCGGATAGTGTCCGGCCAGTGAATGTTGAGTATTTTGCGAAGACAATTATTTATAAATACTTGCACCTTCTTGACAATGGATGTAGTAGTTCTCCACGTTTCAGCTCCGTGCAGTAGGACTGTCTTGATGTTCGTATTGAAGATTCTCACTTTGAAGTTAGTTGACAGTTGTCTTGAGTTCCATATGTTCTTCAATTGTAGAAATGCTGCTTGTTGCTTTTCCCATCCTCGGCTTTACATCTGCATTAAATCCTCGTTGTTTATTAATGATGCTTCTCAGGTACGTGGAACCTTCCATATCTTCCAGAGTTTCTCCATCAAGTCTGATTGGGTTGGTGTTTTCCTTGCTGTATTTGAGAATCTTGCTTTTCTCTTTGTGTATGCTGAGGCCTATTGATGAAGAGGCTGCTGCTACATTTTCTGTCGTCGTCTGCATTTGTTCGTGTGTATAAGAGAGGAGGGTTAGGTCATCTGTGAAGTTCAAATCGTCTAATTGATTCTGAGATGCCCATTGTATTCTGTGTTTCCCCTCAGATGTCGAAGTCTTCATAATCTAGTCAATCACCAAAAGAAAGGAGAAGGTGTAGAGTAGACAGCCTTGTCTGACTTCCGTCCTTACTGGAAATGTATTTGTCAGCTGTCCTCTATGCACAATATGTAATTCACTAGTTTATAACAAAAATTATCTCATTACTGTAATAGTCTTTACAAATCATTCAATTAATCAAATTAATACTAGCTTATTTTAATTTACTTTGCATTTTCAAAAATGAAAAAAACAAAACAAAAGAGTTAGGGATATATATTTATATGTACTTTTTTAAAAAGTTTTAATGAACTTTCTCCTTCTAAAAATAATACTAATTATTATTATTTAATCCAGATTGAAAACTAAAAGGTAATGTAAAATAAATTACTGTTTATGACCAATTTATAAGAATATGAATAAAGGGAACAAGGTGGATTACAAAGGTAAAACACACAAAACAAAAAGAGAACAAATGAAGAGAAATAATAATAATAATAATAATAATAATAATAATAATAGCAAATAGTATTAAACGAGTATTATAAGTTATAACCATATGACCCTAAAAAAAAAGATATACTACTTATTGAAATTAGAGTTGGGCAGGTTAATTAAGAGGAATCGATCACTATTGTACCAATTGTATATAATGGTTAATTTCCAGTTTACATTGTGTATATGCATATATATATATATATATATATATATATATATATATATATATATATGTATATGTTCTATATGTTTCTTACTGTAACGAATATTTAACTAAAGCATAGCTTTTTTAAAAAAAAATTAATTTTTTTTTAATATGTCATGTTGTGTCCTGTTGTGTGTACCGAATAAAAGTCGAAAGGTACTAAAAGTAATAATGATAGGAATATATATATATATATATATATATATATATGTTAGTAATACAATTACTAGTCTTAAAAATACAATAAACATTGTTACAGTAGACTTTTATCCCGTAATGGTTATGAACATATATATATATATATATATATATATATATATATGTGCATTTATAAATGGGCAAAAGTAAACTGAAAAGAAACAAATGTATACCATCTGAATTATTTAGCATGCAAAGACAAGGAAAAAAAATATTCATCACGTTACCCTTTCACGCGATAAAAACATACACTTAAATATACTCAAATGGAAAAAAACAACTGATTATTAGTATTATTATTATCATCATCATCATCATTAAAGTTTCTTCTTCATGTTGTATTTTCCTCAGGGACTTGTTGTGAAAGTCGACTTACAAAGTGAGTTTTACCCAATGGTCGATCATAATCTTCCATTGACATTCGACGATTTAATTGCATTGGTGTTTTTTGTAATTTCAAATTACTTACTAAATAAAAGAAAAATGAGAAAGAAATTAACTGACTGGTTGAAAAGCGATGATTATACAACGGTAGAGGTTATGTAATGTGCGTATATCTTATGCATAAAAGCTTGAAAGAAATAGATGCATAAGATCACTAGTTATTACTATTTCTTAAACAATAAATATTTGTCAAAACAGTCATGATACAATCTTGAAAGACTAAAAACCAGATTTATGGTATATTTCTATGCAAATACAGAGGGGCTGTAGAGACTGGTTGGTAATGCTAAAACTGAAGGTTTCGGGTTCGGTTAGCAGCAGGGTCGTAAATGAGCATTGCTGCAGAGCCCCATTCTGGGTCTAACTAAGGTCTGTTTGTGATAAAAACTAGCTTATATTTATGCACAGTATTCAACTCGCTTGATAAATAAATAAAATCATAATATCCAAACTGTCGGAGAAGTTGCTTCACTTTTTCAAAAGTCACGGTAACTATTTGTTTCCTTTTAGTGTTTAAGTCAATGGCACTTATGATAAATCATATCAGATAGATTACATCACTTACAAATAATATAAACCGCGAATTGAATTTGAAACAACCACACTTTAGGTATGGTTGATATATAAATGAAACCATAATAAACGAACGACTAGATCAGTGGTATATTTCCAGATACTAACCAAAACCTTTTAGTTGACAATTTGTGAAGATTGTTAAAGACTTAGCATTGATGTTTAATTAGAACTCCTTGTATGACCTCCATTTAGATCTTCTAATCTCTTAAATACATATTACCTTTAGGTCACTTGAACAGAGTTCAAGCGGAGTCTGTTTTTGCAACATTATGAAGCCATTATTTATATAATTGTTGACACCCATCTCACCCGCTATTATGATTGAACTAAAAACTTTCCCGAATCTCAGTGATGTTAATCCATAGAGAACTTTGAATGATCAGAACGTATCTATTTCATCAGCAACAAGAAGTTCTATACTTCTCAATATGGCACAGACAAACAGTACTTTTATCTGCTTTTCTTTAACCTTTTTTCATCTTGCGTCATTACTACACAACACGTCAGGTTTTATGAAGTTAATCCATAACAAGTGACATTGATACCCTTTACTAAATGGCTTAAATTATTTGACATCCAAACATAGTTCATATAATATCGAGTCACTTAAACTAACGTTTACAATACAGCTTAATAAATAGAATTTGATCAGGACTACGGATAAATAGTTATGAAGTTAGTTTCTATTCGGCAACTACTTAGCAAAATTATCTGGTTATTTTATAAGTGAATTTTCACTTCAGTCAGTTCTGTTTACTTTTATTAGTAAATCTAGAATTCTAGGCAAAATTAAACTGTGACAAAATGGTTATAAAGAGAGAATTATTACAGAATTCACACATTGCAACAGAGGTTGAAACTTGAACATCAACAGACGGATATTTTAAACTCCTGTTAAGAACGATAGAAAAATTAATAAAAATGAATGAACCATGAATGACTGTTTCGTTCTAATTTAAAACTCCTTAATGGTTAGTATCTCGAGTCTTGTAAGATATCATACCTAGGATATTTAGATAGTTTGTTGAGGATGATACTGTTAAATCCGTGAGTTTTGACAAAAAAGACAGATATATGTCAGTTCCATTTGTATGAAATTGTTCACGTCTTTCCAACATTCAATATTTACCACCGAAGTTTCGGGGTTTAAATAAAAATATTTATCGACCTTCAATATTCCTGTAAAGTCAATCTCTGCACTCATCTACCTTATCGAGGCATATCTACATATTTATATATATGACTTACATAGGCCGATTCCTTGTAAAAAGTATTGCATACTGTCAACCACCTTATCCGGCTAAAGTTTTAAACGCAAACAGAAAAAAAAGACAGAAAAAATGGTTGCATTTAAGAATAACTTTAAATATATAATAATATAATTTTTCGTAACAAATGACCAGAGTCACCTTGTTATTACGTTTAACGTATTTTTATTTACATTTGGCTATATACACACATAGGCTAAGAGGTTTAACTAGTTCATTCTTCCCGAACAATTTTAAACAGATGAAAAACAATAATATTTTCAGAATACCAGATATTTCATAGTTTTTTCTCAATTGAAAGCTTATAGTATTTTTTCTTTCTATTTATTAGTGACCTATCGTCGGCTGGATATACCTACACAGCAGTATTTTTGTTCGTACTGTAGTTTGAAACCAGTTCCTAGCAAAATGGAATATGCTTCATGGATGGCATAACTAGTCGCATTCTAAAAATACACAAACATTTTATTCATGTTCTGAATAAACATAGTCTATGCTGAGTTACAAGAATTTCCTTTTATATTACGTGAGTTCATCATTATTAACCTTTGTCACCTTCCAGTTGTCCAATAGCAAAGTCACAATAAAATATTTATTTTTCAGAATGTATACTTTGTTAAAGTCAGTTGATAATTACATTCGGTAAGAAATAATAATGAATTATGAATTTAACAGTTCTATACATTTTGTGTAACAAAACAGTTGAATTCTATATTGTTAAAGAATTAATAAGTATATTGGTTACTTGAATAATTAATAAAGATTTTTATTACATATGAACTTACTCTTTCGGTAAGAACATTCGATACATCATCAATCATTACAAATTCACTTGAACCTGATTGACCACCAGAATCACGACGTATTTTTTCAAGATCTTCAAATAATTGACGACACTTTTTATGATGTGAAGCTAAAGCTCCTGTGATTAGTAATACAGGACATCTGAAATATAAAACATTACAATGAACATTGAGACAATCTTGTGGAAAAGTGAGAATACTTTTTTTAATTACAATCATCTGATCTTAATTTTATTAGTTCTAGCGATAGGGTGATAGATAGAGAGGAAACCTTTAAATGTAGATGACCATATGTTGTAATGATGATAATATATATGTTACATCTGTGGCCGAGTGGATGATTTGCTGATGTGTGGCTCGATAGAACCGCCAAACAGGGAGCAGCGAATTGTCGATTGGAACAGTGACACGAAACCCGTGCGAGCAGACTAGAGTGTTATCCGGTCCTGCGATCTGCCTAGCCCAGCCAGTTAAGTCCAAAACACCAATAACAGCCTCAGTGGTATGAATCATTGTATTTCAAACATACTGAGTTTATATACCAACCAACAACCATATCGACCCATAAAATAGATAATAACATTTGTACAATATTTAGCCGAATGTGACTGTGAATAGTAATCAACAAACTGACGATAACTCAAGAATCGTATGATAATAAGTCAAAGGTCAAAATAAAGTTAATGATAAGAGAAATACGAATATGAATAGTTCAGTTACGTAATAATTGTACAATAGGAAGTAGGCATATTACATTGATCCATAAATAGACCTAAAGTTACCATTCGTAATTCTCTTTGGGATACAACAATATATAAATTGGCTACTTAAATCCAAGTTAATTGGAATGATTGAGAGTTGATATTAAGACAATAACTGACCACTTATAATTCAGTCATGATCAAAATAACACCGAACCGTATTGTTTTTATTTCCTCCAGCGGTTTATTCCTATTACAGTAACGTTAATGATGAACACAATAAAATGTCTGAATATTTAAGATAGTCCAAACTAGCTGAAAACTGTACATACACCAATTGGCATGGAATTCAGAACAATCTTTTTCACTGCTTAGTAGATTGTGATGATCCAAAGTTTATTATTGATATTTTGCGAATGATACAAGTATTTTTACCATTAGTAGTAATAATAGCTTTATTTAATGATAAAAACCGTTCGTTACATAATTAGTTGAGCAATATTGTTGCGAATTTATGTCCAAAGTTTAATCAAACTACAATTATTCAGCAAAGTATATTTATTACGTGCAAGCTCAGTGTCAAAACGTTAATATCCTGGGTTTGGTCCCCAATAGGAACATGGATACACACCAGTGAGTTGTTCCGAATTAGGATGAAACATCTTCGTGCTTCTTGTTCTTCAATAGTTAATCATTTTGTGGTGTAAACTATGAAAGTATAAAATAGGTAGCTTAATTGACGTATTTGGCAGTTAAAGAATAAATCCGAACGTTCGAAGAAGCCACCTCATGATCATCCGACCAATTTTATGGATGACAAATTCATTTATTCATAATATGTGCATTCTTTTTGGAACTAACTATATGTTACCGAGAGCGTACATTTATTTTTAAGCATTTTGAAATAGTTTACTAAGATGATTAAAATATAAGAGCGAAATAGACCCTAAGAAGTTATATTTCATCCGTATGGAACAATAATAAAGTAATAGGAAAGAAAATGTTTTAACGTTGGAATAAAGTCAGTAAGCTAGATCGTTTGTTTACTGAAAAAATGTTGTTCATGTTAAGTATTCATCCCGAGATATTCATTAGATTTCGATTTTATTCTATCGTTTCTTTATATCATGTTATTTAATTAACTTGACTGATTAATAGATTCTACGTGTAATCACACTACTCTATTACTTCCGTTGATGTACAGTTACTATGCTTACACTTATCACTTAATAATCACCAAGGCCTCATTTGCTGGTTTTTTATAGATCAAGTTACAGTTTGTATTCACTAGTTAAGGTGAATCAACATCACAGTAAATTTTTTTCTTTTTTGGAGGTCATCGACAAGAAACTATTGACTACTGTTTCGTTATATTTGTTACTAGTCACCAAAGCATTTCTGTATTATTATAAGGACTGATATTCTTCAAACTGATAACATGGACTAAAATTACATCAATAACCTTGAATTTATGATTTTCCAACTATTTGATTAGTTTAGTTTTGTGGATGTTGGTTCGATTTGAAGGTTGTATTTGTGAAACGGGTCGAGATTGAAACACTTGTCTCCCACGTTATTAGGAGATGGGATGCTGTACCAGTGAGTGTTAGACCAGTGATGTAATAATTTGATATTCGTCACAAGATCTAAAGGGCCCAGGTTTGACTGTGGGTAGGGTCAGTGGTTCTCACTATTGAGGAGTCCGTTCTAGATTAGGATAAGGTAGCTATCCATTTGTCCCTGGTTTTTAGTGGGACCCTCTCGACCGTTGCTGCTACCTTGACGTGGTGGTCGGGCTTGCCTATCGTGATGATCCAATTGAGCTATGCTGGCTGGAACAATCGTTCCTCAAGGTCCTACCATGCCAGACAGGTCGGTTGAAGAGCGGTGAGACTAAAAGCAGCAATCCCAAGGTCCGAAGGCGAAGTCGTACTGCTGACTGTACAGAGGTGTGAAAGCAGTAAGGTGTTTCCTTCAGACAACCAGCATGACAGCGATGCTGCCTTCCCACAAGGAGGGATGGGGTTAGAAAAGGTCGACCCTAAAAATGCACACCTCGCCTTATCCCACGGATATCTGTCTCCGGCGGTAAGGTCCTTTGAAGAACGGAGCTAACACGAAAACTACCCACGAAAAGGTCGTGTGTGACCGGCCTCAAGCAGATGTCCCTTGGGCACTGCGGTCACGCTCTCAGGTCATTAAGACCACTTCTAACCCAATTTTTTTCAGGTACCTCTAGAAGAACCTTTCCACGATGTGGGCAGCCGGGAAGTGATAACTGCCCTCATACCTCTAACAGCACTCAAGACCACTGTATTCATAATCAATCTCCTTCTTCAATTCCTACTATTCCTTCTACATTGACTTTCAACACTAAACTTCCTGTTCCGGTTTCCTCCTAAAGTGTCACCATGGCCAACGATTCTAGTGCGCGAAACGCTGTCACAGGTCTACTAAAACCTCGCTGCAAAGTACACATTGGAGCCTTCAACGTACGTACCCTATGTCAAATCGGTCAACAGGCCTCCTTAGCTAAAACCCTAGAATCTCGTACCATTGATGTATGCTGTGTATCCGAAACACGCATACAGGATCCCAGTGTGGTCATTCACTTGACCTCACCTCGCCAAAATGGACAGTCAACGAAATACACACTCAGTGTATCTGGCTATCCGTTGGCCAAGTTCTCGTGGACTTGCAGGTGTAGGCATAGCACTAAGTACAAGGGCAGAACAGGCACTACTAGAATGGATCCCCGTTAACAGTCGCCTGTGTGCTGTCCGGCTAAATGGCTCCGTAAGAACTCGGAAGGATAGGGACACACATCGTTGCCTTTTCGTCGTTTTTGCCTATGCTTCCACTGACTGCAGCCATGATGAAATGAAAGATGACTTTTACAGAAAGCTGTCTGAGCTTCTTCAGAAAGCCAAGCGCTCAGACATAGTAGTCGTAGCGGGTGACTTTAATGCCCAGAAAGGCAGCTTAAATCAAACAGAAAGACATTTAGGTGGGTGTTTTAGTATTTCGGCTCAATGAACCGATAATGGTGATCGTCTGTTGCAACTATGCTCAGACAATCATTTATTTTTAGCAAGCACTAATTTTAAGCATAAGTAGAGACATCGTCTAACATGGCGACCACCTGAACCAAACCAACGATGGACTCAAATAGACCATATTACCATCAGTCATCGTTGAAGAGGCTCAATAGAAGATTGTCACTCGTATTGGAATACTTGTTTAGACTCTGATCACGCTTTAATACGAGCGCGCATTTGTCTGCGCCTCAATGGACACAGGAAAAGTACACTAAGAAGACCCATTAGGATTGAACTGGAGGACGAGAAAGCCAAATGCGAATTCCAGAAACAACTGAGTTCGAGATGGTGGAGAAGATTTGTAGCTCAGGTGGGTGATTTTTATGTTGGTTTGTTCTCTGAGCTGGATGGTTTGGTCGTGGAGCTTTCATCGTCCTTCTGAACGACATCATCAGCACAAACTTCGGGTAGAAGTGAACAAACATATTGAAATCAATCCAATCTATCAACCAATCAAGAAAATTATGCAGGAAGATAGGAACAAAAATCAAAACATTAGGAGAGACAATCAAAACAAAGAAATAAACAATGACAAATTTAAGGTCAATAAGAACCGACCAACATCGAGGTGCAGAGGACAAGCTGTGAATCACATGTGGAGAAATTCAAACACTTCACTTCTACCCGAAGTTTGTGCTGATGATGTCGTTCAGAAGGACAATGAAAGCTCCACGACCAAACCATCCAGCTCAGAGAACAAACAACTGAGTTCACATCTAGGCAGTTCTGTAAACAAGACTGACCCAGATGCTGCTTGGAAAGACACACGAACAGCTGTGGAAACAGCAGTAACATCTATTAGTTATTTAAACCATAGGGCTCCAAAAAACCAATGGAATTCTTCTAAGTCTATTTCAATGATGGATTCGTGTAAACTCATCCCATCAGGCTCTGAACACTATAAAGAGCGTAAAGAAATTAGATCTAGGTTAACTGAAAGTCTAAGGAACGTTCGTGAGCAGTGGTGGGCAACGAAAGCAAAAGAGATGGAAAAGGCAGCGGCTGTAGGCAACACCAGACGACTATTCAGACTAATAAAAGGAACCGGAATTAAGAAGTCAAGTGTAAGTGAGACAATCTCGAAAAAAGACGGAACCCTTATCTACTCTCAACCCAAACGTTTAGAACGATGGGCGGAACACTTTAAGGAGCAGTTTAACTGGCCTTCAGCTACTGCACAACTACTCACTATTCCCAGAAAACCTGAATGGAACATTGAAGTAGGCCCCCCGACCCTACTTGAAGTTCAAAAAGCTATAACTAATCTGAAACGAGGAAGAGCAGCTGGTCCTGATAGATTGGTTCCATAGGTCTTTAAATATGGTGGTCCAATTTTAGCGATTAGGTTGACTAATATTCTGGCTAAAATCTGGGAGACGGATGTAATCCCATCCGACTGGTCACAATCACTGATTGTCCCAATATATAAAAAGAGGTCAAAATCATCCTGCGATAACCATAGAGGGATCAGTCTGACTAACATAGCATCTAAAATACCAGCCTCAATAATTATCAGGCGCCTAACTAAGACTCGTGAACTGCAAACACGAGAAAATCAGGCTGGCTTCAGACCTGGTCGTGGCTGTATCGACCACATATTCACCATTCGTCAGATTTTACAGCACAGACACGCTTATCGGCGTCCGACAATGATGGTTTTTCTTGACTTGAAAGCAGCATTTGACTCTGTAGACCGAGAGGTTCTGTGGCAGTGTCTGTCATTGAAAGGTGTACCTGAGATGTACATAAACCTTGTGAAGGCTCTTTACTCGAACACTACCAGTCGAGTGAGAGCTTATGGCGAACTGTCATATGATTTTACAACCTCAAGTGGTGTCCGTCAAGGCTGTCCACTATCCCCATTTTTGTTTAACTTCATTATAGACCTGTTGCTGGAAATAACACTCTCTTCGACTGAATTTTCAGGAATTAATCTCCTACCAGGTGGACCACTAAGCGACTTAGAATACGCAGATGACATAGTCCTGTTTGGTGAAGACGCTGGCAAAATGCAGAGTCTTCTGTTGGAACTCAGTAATAATGCCAGGATGTTTGGGATGCGATGTAAATTGTTACTCCAGGACTGGCCTGCATCAACACCCGAACTAAGGATAGGGAGTGAAGTAGTCGAACGCGTCGACAACGTCACTTATCTTGGAAGTCTGATCAGCTCTAATGGGTTGGTGTCTGACGAAATCTCAGCACGGATTCGAAAAGCTCGTTTGGCTTTTGCCAACTTACGTCACCTATGGCGAAGACGAGATATCCGTCTATCAATTAAAGGACGAGTATACTGCACATCAGTTCGCTCTGTTCTACTTTACGGCTGTGAAACATGGCCATTAAGAGTAGAAGATACTCGTAGGTTACTAGTATTTGACCACAGATGCCTTAGAAATATTGCTCGCATCTGCTGGGATAACCGGGTAAGTAATAGTGAGGTTAGACGCAGGGTATTAGGGAACGATGGTAAATCAATTGATGAGGTGATGAATCTTCATCGACTGAGATGTTTGGGCCACGTGTTACGTATGCCTGAACACCGATTACCACGATGCACTATGATGACTAGTACTGGGGATTGTTGGAAGAGAGTTAGGGGCGGCCAAACCAAAACATGGCATCAATGTTTGAAGTCACTAACTTCTAGTCTGAGCCATGTTGGCAGATACAGACTACCTGGTTGGGGTCCGTGTGACTATCGTAACCAATGGTTGGAGACTCTGTGTGACATGGCTCCGAATCGATCACAATGGTGTAGGTGTATACACTCTTTATCTTCCTTTAAACCTTGAGACTAAAATTGCTTCATATCTCTCTTCCTTCCTGTACTATATCCTTATATACAACCTATAATTTATATACTACTACTACTACCAGTAAATTAATTACTTCTGTGAATCCGGTGTTCATCTTGTCGTGCTAACGAGGTATGGCAACTTGGACCGATGCATAAATGTGCCTGGTCCTACGTTGTAGCTCACTGACTGACTGGGACCCTAACATTTGATTATGTTTCTTAATATAATCTGTCTAATTATTTTTTATGATAATTTCATGATGTGTATAATTTTTTATGAATATTGTAATTCACCTCTGGAATATTCTTATTGAAACTTACTTTCATCATATTATATTCTCTAGTAGTCAAACATATATACTGGAATAAATAATCAAAACTTCAAATTTATGACAAAGTTTACTTTAGTGTCACCGAACTCTAAACCAAATGATTCAATTTCATTGCTTATATTGATATTTTAAAATAATCTGATGAATAGGATTTTAACATATTGAATGAACTAATTATCTGGTATATTAGTTCACCTCCAAAATTGTTAATTAAATAAACTCTAATTATAAGATTTGATACACTTAACTATACAGTAATGAATTTTAAAGTTGACAGTATATAATTAAATGACTTCGAATAGGACTATAATGAATCATTTATCTAATTAGATTTTGAAAGTAGATAAAAATTGGTAAATATTTAGCTCATTTGTCAGAACAATCCCAAAATATCAGTTGAACGAATTCTAAAAGACAAACTTACTGTTTAGGGAAAAGAAAAGTTGGATATAAATTAGGTAATTTCAGTAATGAATTATTCTTCACTTCGAAAATCAATGACAACCTTTGTTTCACATCGGGATATTTGAGTTTCTTTTGTTTCCATAACATGGAATACTTATAATTATGTAAATCCATTATACTTATTTTCAGATGTATTCCATAAGTTCTCGTAAGCGGTAATAATTATTGAAGTTGTTATATCTAGAGCCTTGATTATTAATATGCCGCGAACTACTTGACTACTTGAACGATAGAACCCGCAACGTCGCAAAAAGAGAGAAGACAAAGACTGGTAAGCAGGAAGTTTATTGCCCCGAACAGTGTCAAAATGTAGCACAGAAATCTCGTGTATTTATAGTTATTGGCTGAAAATATATTATCATTTAGGTCAACCAATAAGCACATAGGTATCAAACTAATCCATCCAATGGAGAAGCTCCACGTTGGCATTTCTAGAACATTCCCCTAGCCGTGACTGGATGGAATGTCTGCGGCTCTTCCTGGGCTTCTTAGGGTTTTCTAGAGTCTACCGACGGGCCGTCCTTACAGGAGTCTAGCTATATCATGAATGAAGCCATCTTCACGAAGATGTATGAATAATGTTCTTCATATATGAGCAATTGGTTAAAATCCTAAATATTTATCTTTGGTTACTAACATAATGGTCTAATGCTTAAAATTTATTGAAGGACATGAAGAGACTGAGTTTGGTCCCTAGAGAGGCTGTAAGCGCCCGTTCCTACAGTTGGATGATGCAGGTGATCAGTGCTTCTGTTTTTCAGTGGTTTTTAATTTGGATATCATTCATCAATTGTGTTTCCCGTGTATCGTACGCTAAGTCATTTCATTTATCCCTGTGTGATTTATAAATGGTTTACCAGTTTTAAAGAAGTCACATAATAATTCATTAACTGGTTTACTGACATCAGATTATGAGTAAAATTTAGGATGCAAATAGATCTCATTGCTTTATTTCACTAACGGTTTACCTTTCTATGAGTTCACATGGTTTCAAATATAACTTTAAAGGGAAATCAATTAATAAATGACATGATTTCACGAATGATTGTGTTAGGTTACTATGTGTAGCAATTTTGCGCGTAAGTTTACACAAATATAAGTAGGATAAGCACACAATATGTTTGGTTACGAAAAAACAAATACACTTTCCTGTATACGATATTTTGTATTATACATACACATTATAATGTACTTACTTCAGACTTGGAAGACTTTCTGAAAGATTTTTACGCCTGTAAATAAATAATGAACATCATAGGACATAAGTGATTCACATGGGTAAAACATTGCGCAATTATAAATACTGATAAGTTATTATGGCAAGGAAATATGCTTCAAATAATAACCTTTCACTCTCAGTCTGTCGGTTGGTTTTGCTTTTATTAGCTAGATTTTCATTGGAACTGTTTCCATTGTCAAAGCCATTGTGATTATCACAAGATTGCTAATATGTTTTGTTGATAAAGGTCTACAAAGAGAAATCATCAGTCAACCAATAGCATTCAATCAACCACTTAAAAAACAAACATTTCAGATTTGTTTGGGTTTGAATTACTAATGAATTATGCAGGTAAGAGTGAAAAACTTATTAAACATTCCAGACCTTCAAATTAAAATGAACAATTTGATAGTATTGGTAAGGACAAGGTACGGTAAGAAATGGTTAGTCGTAAGTAACATGAACCAAATAAAATATCATGTAACTCTTAAAGTTTTTGTATAAGAATAGAGATTTTGACACTGGTTAAAATATTTTTTTAGTTTTTCATTCATCACTGATCTTTTTGTAACATGAACGTACTTTTTAATAGATTTACACAATGTCGGTTTCTGTTACATAGTCATTTGAAGATGGGGAAATATTAGTTAATCTGAGTAAGAGTTCAAACTAATTTTTTTTTGGAAAATGATACTATGAAGTCTGTAAATTCACCGTCGATTCGATACCATTTTAGATTACTGAACTTGGTTTTTACCTGTTTGTCGTGTGATAATTAAGGTTTCAATCCAGCATAAATTCATTAACAAAACGCCCTAAACCAACAGTTTTTTTAGATTTCTCAGGTTTTTCAATGATTTTTTCTAGTTGATATCGGATGAGTACAAATATTTACTTTTAAGTTTAAAATAAAATGGTAAAAGAATGGTTAACTGATGTACTGACCAGATATAAGATAAGGACTACTGGATAACCTTTGTTTTGATAAAAATTAAATGCTCTATAACTACGACGTATAAATTGATAAACATGGGAATATTAATGAAAAATAACCACGACTCATGAATTATTGAAGATTAATCAAGTATTTTTTATATTTAAAATTAAAGAACGGACAGTATGAGTATTCATTCATAAGATTATAAAGGATTTTTCTAATCTATACTTAACCTTTATACCTAATCCTAAATCAAAACTATCAACTGGGTTCTAATTCAAACTCTTCTTATATTCTGATTGGATAGAAATAAACCTTATTATCATATTTTAATGAATAGCCGTTTGTAATCAGTAACGTAAAATTTGAATGATAAATATGTATAGCAGATTGAAAAGCTAAAATAAAATGGCATAAAGTGATGAATAACTTTTAATTTGGTGTTTTAAAAAAGAATCATAAAATAATTAACATTTTAAAATTGTTCGATTGTATTTTATCAAAGTAAAGAAGAGAATGAACATTTGGTTAATGCGGTGATTGCCAACAAATTAGGTTTGAATGAATTAAATTGACGAAAGTATCTTTTTATAGATTAAATATTAACTGTTTAAAAATTTAGTTTAATTACATAATTTTGAATATAAAATTCTCTTCATATGTAAACACTTTTTCAAAAAATTCCAACAAGAAGATCTGACTTTTCAATAATTATACGGCATTATTTTTGCAATAGGATAGTTAGTCATTTAATACAGATTAATATACATTATTATTATTAGAAGGGGTTTTGTGGAGATTTAGTATTTTCATAGTTGAAGTTAGACGTTAACACCGTTGGATGCCGACTCAGTGGTCTATAGATTAAGTGCTCTGGCACGAGACTGGTAGGTGTTGGGTTCGAATCTCGCAAGTGCGGGATCGTAGGTGTGAGCTGCTGAGGAGTCCCATAATAGGACGAAACTACCGTCCAGTGCTTGCAGGTTTTCGATGGTGATCTAGCTTCAATTGACTCACGCTTTCAACTATAATATACATTAATTTAGTAGATCATAGAGATATTTTAAATATGGCCAGAGTTTTCAGTTACTAATTGACTTATGCAAAGGAATGAGTGAAAACGACAGAGAACTGGGAAGGTGTTTTCAATGAGACATAATTTCTGTATCATTATTTATAAAACAAGTAAATTACTATACATGCAACCAAGTTATTAATCAAAAGTTTAGTAGGTTGTGTGTGTTCACTTTTCTGGGAGTAAAGGAACCAGTAAACAAATCATTTTGCTTGTTAGTTACTTCAAATAATATTTTGTACAATGATGAACACACTTGTGTCATCTGAAATCACTTTATATACTGAATAGTTCCAAACAAGGTTTATAATGGCTTTCGTTCAAAGAATTCATCAAACTACCAATTTTAGACCAGAAACTTATCAACTGAATTTTACTGCCAAATTAGTGAGAAAACTGCATAAATATTTTTATTTTCTGTCTTTTATTATTTTAGATGAGTACATAGATTAACTTAAAGATATTGGTGATCCAAGCACATTATTTTAATTCCATAAACGTCTGATTATTTCTTCTAATATCTAAAAGAACATAAGTGTGAAAAAATTATGAAGACCTTATTATGATGATTTGACTGACTTTATATAAAGCTGCATAGATAGTAAGAAAAATTGCTAGCTGCACCCTAACACATCCGTTGGCAATAGATGTAAAATGTGTGTATTATGGCACAAGAACCATAAACGTTTCAGACGCATTTTAAAACAATCAACTAGGGAAAATCACGGAAAACAATCTTATCAATACGTTATTAATCTAGATATTGATTGCTTTCATTACTGTTATAAATAATTGTCAGGTAAATGTCATTCTCTCTCATTTTACTTCACCTTCAATAGGTATTTGAATAATAAGCGACTGATGACTACTTGGTTTTTAAAAAGATAACAGGGACTTTAACGCCTACATCAATTTTTTCCATTTTCCAAACACAGTTTATTCTGATCTTTTTTAGGTTATTATCAATGCTCATATAGTTTGCCTTATCAAGTGCGCACTGTCAACTTATTGAACATCTTTATATATGCGTGTGTGTTTGTATGTTTATCTAGATGACTGATTATCTATCTATTTAATTGTGTTTGATATATTCTTTATCTAACATAAAGACGAACTAATACACCACTGTTTTACTGGCTAATGATGGTCAAATATCACACAACGAACATTTATTCATATCTACCATTTGTTTACTTGCATAAGAGACCTTGAAATAAATTCTTATAAAACATTTCGTATTTGGTTTTTATAACCACCATTTCACAATAGGGTAAAACTAAATAAGAGATTTACATTTCATTCATCATCATTAGGACTAATCGAGTCAACGTGAGTGCTGTTAAGACGTAGAAGTTTTGTTTTATTCCTATTAGACAATAATAACCTTATTGGGAATATTTTACACTGGTCTGAAGTGAAGTCCTAATCAGAGACATTGTAAGATTTTTATTCATATAAATTAACTTGAAGAAACTGAAAGGTAGCCTATGATCTCTTATTCTACCTTACGGCTGATCAAATATTGTCAATCCAATGAATATCATAAAATTTGTTGTCAGTTTTAATTATGAAAAAAAAAAAAGTTTCCTTTGAATTATTAAATTGAATATTTCACCATAAACTACCATGCTGATTGGTCAGTTCCTGTTTTTAAAAAAAATTAAATACGAGTCCCAAATAGGACTAAACGCGAGTCCTGGATTCCACTGCTAGTCACTATCCATCTTTACTTCTAATGAAAATAATAATAATTTTGTTTCATTTGTAAATTTTACGGCCAATGAACAATCCAATTTTTTCTGGATGAAATATTTAATTAATTTTTTTTTATCGAATTTGTTTGTTTGTTTCTAATAATAAATATATAATGAAAACTGAATGGATATTTATGAAAAACAAGTAATTAATCTAGAAATAATAATTCATAAAATAATAAACACTACTTAAATACGAAGATTGTTTGCAGATTGATTGTAAATGTTAATATAAAACTATTTTGATGATTTTGTATGTATCATTACCAAGTTTTGATTTGATAATTTTGAATAAATCAGAGGGGGTTTTGTGGGGAATTTAGCATTTTCATAGTTGAAATCATGGCTCAATTGAAGCTAGACCACCATCGAAAACCTGGAAGCACTGGTCTGCTGTTTCGTCCTATTGTGGGACTCCTCAGCAGTGCGCATCCACGAACCCGCTCTCGCGAGCGAGATTCGAACCCAGGACCTACCAGTCGATAAGCGGGATCGTGGATGCGCACTGCTGAGGAGTTCCAGAGTAGGAAGAAATGGCCGACCAGTGCTTCCAGGTTTTCGATGGTGGTCTAGCTTCAATTGACTCGTGATTTCAACTATGAAAATTTTGAATAAATTGAGCATTGAGTAGATTGTTATAAATAAATAGTAATATATTTGTAATATCCTAGTGAGTAGGAAAATTGGCTTTTCTGATGTTTCGTGACCTAGTGTAAGCCACTTCTTCAGAGAATAGATAACCAAATTAACATTAATCCAAGTTATTTATTCTCTGAAGAAGTGGCTTACAATGAGTCACGAAACGTCATAAAATCTAATTTTTTACCCATTGGGATATTACAAATATATTAATTTATTTATCTTAGTGAATAATTTCAATCATGCTTAATATCTTTTATCTCATTGGATAAGTGTAAATTATTCATATACTTAATCTATTTTGATGAAGTTCCACTTCATCTCATAACAGTCTCATTATGAATCTAAATTTTATTTAATAGAATAAATAGTATTTAATTTACTGTACAAAGTGACTGTGGTACTCTGTACTCATTTCATGAACGTAACTAATTTATGATGAGATGAAAACAAAAAAATGAAAATATAATATAGAATCTTTTTTAAAAAAGAATACATCGATACAAGCTTGAAAACTCGATGAACGAAAGATAGAGGAACATTGTCAAGAATATGACAATAAAATGACCTTAATTTCAAATATGGTATTCAATGAGAAGCTGAAAATGAGATATGTCATCATACATAGTAGCATAATCTGTGTGAATGTTTTCGAATGTTCTCCTTCCAAAAAGTAATTCTTGAAAACCGCAACATAATGATTTGCATTATATCTGTGATTTTCACATAAATTATTCATTCATATGAGATCAGGAATGAAATTTAGGAAGCTGATCAACTCATTTCATGACTTTAAATTAAGTGGCTTTTAACTGTATTCATATTGATTCCATAATGAACTATATTGAACAAGTATATATATTTGCAAAAAGGAGAAAAACAAGTCTGAGGGCTATTAAAATTTTATAAAATAAAACCTACTGCATATATGATGTGATAAACTTGTTTAAATTTTTCGGATTAATTGAATGACGTAAATTTTGACGAAAACTTTCAACTGCATTGCGTAACTCTACTTCACTCTCAGTTTCAACAACCTGTAAAAAATCAAAAAAATTATCCGAGAGTAAAGAAAATGGAAAAAAGTATTTATTCATGATTATGAACACGACGGCATTCACAATTTTTTACGTTTTAGCAACTATTAGTATGTTGAAGAAGTATGTTTAAGCCATAATTTTGGCATTTGTAAGAAGATAGATACAGGTATTGTTTTACAATAATTTTATGTGAAAGACTGTATATTAGTATCGATTTTGTAGAGTTGGATGGGTATTACTTTTAAATCAAATCGGAAGGTAAATGTTCATCAGAAATTAACCTAGTTGTCGCTTTGTCTCTTTTATATAAATTTTTAATTAAAAGGCTGTGAATAAATTGTTCCAGTTTAAATTTCATCATAACAGTGAAATTTGTTGACTTTTATTGATAAATGGACATTCAGTCTTACTTTCAATTGCTGATCAATATTAAATGGAGCCATTTTAATGCAGACTTAATGTATATTGAGAATAATTTACATTAGGAGAGATTGTAGTGTCTGTTACTATATCAAGCCCATTTGAGCTATTCTAGTTTCCTGACAGATCAATTTATTTATTCTTTTCGAGCTACATTTTGACCATGTTAACTGTTCTCTTAATAACCATGTTTTTATATGGGCGTATGTAAGCTAATTGCTTACACTAATCATTGAACTTTTGTAACTTATTTTTGATTGACTATAAATATAGAGTCACGATTGATCAAATCGAGTTGGCTCACTTTCCTTCTCTACTTTGCTTCGCTTTCTCGCTTCTTATTCTGAATGTCTGTTTGGATAAATGAGCGCTTGAAATAAGTTCTTCCTGCTCGATCCGTATTTAGCTTCTTATTGCCACCGCCACTTAAACAGGGTTAGCCAAGGTGATATACAAAGTTAAATCGAAGATTTATGTTCAAAGTACTTTTGTACAATCAAACTGGAGTCAGATACTGGGCTACAAAAAGTTGTCCAAAAAGAAGAGAGTATATAATACCATTCCGCCCTAGTTTAGGAGATTTCGGTGGTGTAGTGAAAACTGAGTTGTTTAACTGTTTGATTATCATTCAGTATTACAAACTTCAGGTAGGTTTATGGATGTACTTTATATGGTCATACTACACGTATTCCGTATCAGATTGTCACGTTATATTCTGTATGAAAGAGTGTTATATTATTATAGAGTTACAAACAGATATAATAAAAAATGTTTTGAAAATCCCAGAATGAAATATTTTTACATCAGCTAAATTATTTTATTTTGTTGGTTTTGAAATGTAGCCAAACTTTAAGAGGTGAGTTCAGCTAGTCAACGGTTGAAAAATCGCAGAGCACCTGAAGAATTTTTCATTTTAATTTGAAACACACTAGTCATATACAACCATAACTTTGAGAAGTGAAAAAACCTATGTCATTTATATTTAACATGGAAACTAAATAGTCCGAATTTTCAACTATGATCAGTTTGTGATATATATCAAGACAAACACAATGATGTCTTTATTTTAGTTCAGACATGTACAAATTGCATGTGGTTATACTTGATGTCTATCAATTAAATTAACGACAGCTTATCAGTGTGTATGTATATACGTATTCATATGAATCTCAAAATAGACAAAGATAAATAGAAAAAAGCATCATTGACAACTTCAATGCATAAAAACAGCATATTGTTACCATTACCAATTAATATAAATTAAGCAGTATATTTTTTGACATATAAGAGATAATAGTTTCTGAATTTATAATTAATGGTTGACATTTGAGAATCAATGAATGATTGTAAATTATGACAGTCAATTGTCAGTGATTTTGGACGGATGTAAACTATGTGCTTTCAGAAATTCTCGAAAATTCTTAATTTTTTTCCAAAAATTCTAGAATTTGAATATGTCTTCTATCTGTTCAGTATTCGAAATAGTCTATATGAATGTTTTTCTAACAACATATAATGTCGTTCAACTGATTATGTTTTTGTTAAAATGGATATGTAAAAGCAAAAATGATGCTCATTTTTTCCAATGTAGTATTATTCAAAATTAATACAATTTATTATGTGATCGTGGAGAATATTTGTAGCTCAGGTAGATAATTTTGATGGGGTTTTGTTCTCTCAGCTGGATAGTTTGGTCATGGTGCTTTCATCATCCTTCTGAACGACACCATCAGCACAAACTTCGGGTAGGATGGTATATTGATCTTTTTTGTTGTTTATTTCAGTTTACATTAATTGGTATTAACTTAATTATCTTAATATGGTAAGGAAAAAATGTTGTCTTTTTCATAACTCAGTAAATAAACTATTGGTTTGCTTTTATTCTATTTCATTAAATATTTTTGGTTTATATGTTTGTATCTGTGTTAGTATTTATCAGTGTTTAGAATACAAAGTGAGGATGATTGTTTGTTTCAAAATGTAAACTTTAGTTATCAAAGATAAAACATTAACTGATACAAAACGATAGATGACACAAATAAAAAAGGATATTAAGGAAAATGGATGTCGTTTTGTAAATATTTCAGTAACTTTCCATGTATACGACTGTTTATCAAGTGAGGTGAATAGCCGATGAAATTATGCATATTCAGATCATTTTGCAAAGTAATGATGAATAATTTAAGTCTTATAATACTGTTACTTTGACATTCACCAGTCTGATAAATATAAAATTTGTTAAGTGATCTGAACTTAAACTTTATGTAGTAGTTAGTCATAGTTGACGTAGGTACTGGGATGAATTCATATCAGTTCAGGTTTCCATGTTAAATGTCAGCAAAGCTAGAGATAAAATAAAAATCTATGACGTGCATGATTCCCAACCAATAAATCCACACCTACTAGCAGTATTTTGACAAACAGTTAATGACTTCATGAACTGTTGGAGTATTTTGATCTGAATGCTCTTAATTTTCCATTTGTTTACTTCTCTCCCAAAATTTACTACACGCCTCAGTAGGCGCTTACTGGACATGATATATGGTAAACATTTTAAACTCTAAAAAATAATGCCATTTTTGTCTAATACCCTGAGGCCATAGGCTATTGGGTCAGTGTCCTAATAGCATCGCTCTTGTCTTTATATTTTAATATCTTGGATGGAATTTTACGTAAGTGAATATTTCATATCGTCTTAAAAATACTGTATTTTTAAAATGCACACATGAATATGATACATGTTTACATGTATTCGGGCAAATGTTTTTTTTGTTCTGCACAATTTACTGGTGACCTAAATTTTCATCAAACCTTTTTTTCCATTATACTTTAACCTTATTAAGTTAATGAGCTGATCTCATTAATTAATAACATTAAAAAAAAGAAATGTCGTAGAATAAGTAAAATCAAATAAACTATAAATCATTTGGAATAATTATAAGTAGGGAAAAAAAAACTAATTTTATTCTTTTCACTGGTTATAATGAAAAAAATATTGACGAAAGAAACCTAATTTTAAACCTCGATAGTCTCTTTTAATTGATATTCTAAACATGTATACGGTTTATACTTCAGTTAAATATTCCTTGGGGATGCGAACTGCTAATGAATAAATAATGTATGAATAAAGCATAAATAGGTATTACTGGTAGTTACGTGTGAATGCAATCTTATTCAAAGACGAGTATACGTACATGAATGTTTCTCCTACCTCAGTTTTGTTTGGAACAACTAAACATTTGCTTTTCGATATCTCATCTCGTAAATGACTGTTTGATCAAGTGTTGCGTGTTATTATACTTCAACGCACTTTACATGGCACTCAAAACTAAGGGATTTCCTATTTGTTAATTTAGAGGCACGTTAAAAACATTACCATAATGCATGTGTGAGACTTAATATGAGGAACACCAATGCTGCGGAAAAGTCTTACATAGAGTCAAACACAAGACTATCAGCAATCAGGGTTATCACGATATCAACATGCAAAAATATCAACAGCGGACATGTTTAATCCCGATTTAAGTTGTGATATCATGCATTTATAATATATGGTCATCAGAGGCATAGTATTAGATTACTATATGTATTCAGTTAGAGGCTAGGTATCTTGATTTCGACAAAGTTTTCTTCCAATGAATGAAGTGTACCTATGTTCTTCCAAAAGTTAAAAGTCTTGATGACCTTAAAAGACAACTACCAGGACTGTAACTGACCTATTATAAAATCTGGTCACTGCCCCATTTCTTTTGTGCTGAAAATTCTATATTGTATGAGAAATATAATATTGAATAAAGTCATTAATAATAAAATGTGACTGACTTCATAGGTCATAAATTGTCTTGGAAACTGTCTTTGGGGCTAGTTACAGTGTTTTTACCGTAATCGTTAGTTTTGTATAGGTTTTTGTATTTTTCTAATGAGCTCTATATTAGGGTTGTGACTACGAATTTATACAAAGCTGTAAATTGACATGAGCTAGTTTTCGTTATTCATATAAATAGAATCCCGTGCGATGAGATGGATTGTGAAAGTTTATTCATGGTTTACATAACTAAATGAAGTCAGCTTTATGCGCTCTTGGTTTTTTGAAATAAACCATGAATCGACTAACTTCTATGAGCCTTCTGTTAGTTATTAGCTTAAAAATAAATATCCCATCGAGTTAGAAATAATATAATTGTATTGTGATAAGTTTTGGAACTATTTATTAGTTAGTTGAGTATTAACAAGTACTATTCATCAACATAAATCTTTACGTTAGACTATTTACATAATTAAATCTCCCCTCTGCCGCAAACAACTCAAACAAGGTAGGAAACAGTTTCTTTGTATTATATAACCATAAATAATTTACTGTCTCACCTAATTAATATTTAAATGGCATTTATAATAATCCAAATAATTTTTATTGTAATAGCTTCAAATGAATCAATGAAAGAAAATAAATTGTTTTATTTTAAGTATGTGTTAACATAAAACTGTGCTAATATCTAACTTACCGAACCGAAACGATGTACAATTAGAAAACTTTCAGTGGCTGGATTCATACCAGATGAGCTTAATTTCCAATTCATTAACTAAACAAAAATAGTAAATGTTGGAATAGATCAACATTAAATATATTAAAAGGAAAAAGAATGATCAGAGTTTAATTCATGTAATATCACTGAAAAACCAGTCTTATCTCAAGTCATAGCAATTTATACGTATGTATTTATTGTTACTTGTTTGAAGTTAATCAGTATGAAATCCAAGAACTTGATTTCTTCAAAGTCTGACGTTTAATTTTTGAGATTTTATGATTTTATTACAACATAAGAATTAATTAAAATTACATCCAGTGAAAATTAATAGGATTTATCATCTTCAATAAATATTGGTTAATTATCTATTACAACTCAACAATCCAGCCTCTAAATACTTTGATGTCGACAAAATCACTAACTAATTATTATTTAAACCCAATCACCGACTGTTGGGTATGTCAAATCCCCAGAACTCACTTGGTAAATGACTTATTTTTGTAATTTTATTTTGAAATTTTGAATTCCCTCGTTTTCGCGCCAAAAGCGCTCCTTTCACATTCGAGTCGTATTTGCCACTTGGAAATATATTAAACGCTATTGATCCGTTGTATCTTTTAGTGTGCTATTTTGTAATGCTTCCCAAGGACAATTTTATGCTGTATATATATATATATTTGTTTTCTTCCTATTGTGATTGCTTGTGCTTCTGACTGCTTACGGAATATATCTTCCCCACTTTCAACTTGGACTTCTCACTCTAGTTAGCTGGGTCTAGGACGTGTCAGAATAGTTAGCTTATTAGTCTCTGGTCACAAGTCTTTATTCCATTCGTTGACTAAGTGAATTCGAAACCGCTTCAGACATAACACCGATCTTATTTCTCCTTAACTTTAACATAGCTAATAAATTCTTCCGTGTTAATTTATAATGTGAATACATTGACAAAATTTATTTGTTGATTACATCATCATGAAATGAGTTTAATTCCTAATTAAATTTTTTGTAAATCATAAAAAGTGTCTGTAAATAGAAGTTGAACTGATTTCCTGTTAAAATGTTACATGTTGATGAATAACAAAAATCTATATAATAAACAAAAATTGTTTTTCTGTTTATTTTATATCTTGTTAACGTTACATTTTCACACGAATTAAAGGATTGAATGCTCGGTTTGATGAATAAAATCAAACATTTTATTATATTGATTAGGTTAGACATTTTTGTCTGTGTTTTCCAGTGTCTGGGATACATTTCGAGAAGTTTCTATGGTTTAGAAGTATATATTCAGTGTATTTTTTTAAACATATGTTTGGTAATTTTTTTATGATGCTTGGCGATTTTGTGACGATTTGCATACTACTTAAACTGTAATTTGATTAGATAATAACTGGTATAATTCTTGTTGGAATACAAACTGGAAGCAAGTTGAAAATTTCAACATGTATTCATCAGCCTTTGTAGGGTGGTGGTTTTCATGCTTAGCGATAAAATACAAGGTTTGTGTGTGCTCACAAAATAATGGGCATTATCAAGCTTGAAAAAATACTATTCTATATTTGTACATATTGCTTCACTATTTGGTAAAGATCATTATCAAGATATTCAGGATTTGGACAAAACCAGCTAAACAGTAGTCTCTTTTACTTAGCATATATCTGAGGCATTCAATTTCAGAACTAATACAAATCTTGGCGATTTATTCATCAACATTCAGTAACCTTTAAAATGGTAGATATTTATAAAGCCTATAAAGCGTATTGTATGGTATTTATTTTTTTCAGTTTTATTTCATCCATGTACATAAAACGATAACCGTTACATCACATTTTATCCGATAGTTAACATTTACTTATTATCTATTGCTTGAAACATGAATTGTCGATGTGTTGTGAACAGAACACTGGTTGGGGACAATCGAATGTATTTAAGCAAAGATTACAGACTATCTCAGTAAATTCTGAAAACCATACAATGGACAGTCAATTTGCAAATTAACAACCAGTAGTCTCGATCTTCACTGTCTCTTCTCTAATTCCATTGTTCGTGCATTTTCCTACCGATTGCGCTTCATTTCAGTTCTTTGCTCATCGGTCTTCTGCCAAAATACATTCTATGTATGACCAACACCATATACTATACTATACTATATACTTATATGGATATAAGTAGACCACACCATAGATGTTGCTAAACAAAACTAAACTGTTTTATTTTTTCGAATAAATATTTTGATAAAATAACTATGTGCTTGTGCATTTTTGGATGCATAAATTGTAGTGATTTTCGTATTCTTTAGAAGGTAAACCACATTATAGTAGGACTGTCACTGATCTTAATTTATTTTTTTTTGTTTCTTTGACTCTTCTCTTGATTCCACTGCTAGCCACCATCCGTCTTTGCTTATAATGTCATCTATCTATTTTTAAGATTCAGTTTTGCCTCAAGAGGGCAATGGAAATAACGTTTTATCGTAAAGCATTACATTTTGTAAACATTGTCTTCTTCAGAAAAAAAAAAATATATATATATGTAAAGTGCGTATGTATTCAGAGTTGGATAGAGAATGCTGGCGAGCGGCCTATGCTTCTCTATGAGGGGTAACAGGCTTAAGTAAGCAACATATGTGTTAGAAACGAGAACACTAATTTCATTTACTGAAATCCATTTATTTTTATCTACACCTGGATTTATTATTGATACTGATATCAAATATCAGGTCAACTATTTATCATATCAACCTACACTGTAATTCCTTACTGTTTATCATTCGACATTAACAGTTATATTTTAATAAGGATTTTCTTATGGTTGTTAATCATTGAATATATATTGGTTATTTTTCATTTATCTAATTATCAGTACTAATTAACCATCTGTTTATCAACCTAATGAATACTTTATCTTTTTCCCTATTTACTTTATTATTAACTGGGAGAACAGATTGAAAACACAGGGGGATTCATAAGAAAATGCTAAGTAAACATGAAATTTCTTATCTAATAATAATAAAAGAAATTAAGAATAAAAATAATCAAATGTCATTTAATTAAGAAATTATTTTGCTGAGAAAACCTTATATTTATAAATGGTTCTATTATGAGTATAATATCAATGGGTGTATCATTGAAAATCTAAGAGTTGTGAATTCCAAATCTAAATATCTAATTCTGAAACAAACTTTAATCTGTTGGCATTAGATCTTATGAACGAACTAATGAGATATCACATCTTATATTTTTGAATAAAATTTATTTATTTGTGTTGTCACAAAAGATTTCTGCATCTTAAATGGTGTCAGTTCGCTATATAAATGCAGCCCTAAACCTCATATTTCTAATCCTTAATACATAACCATAGCCGAGAACATTGTGGAGATTTTCCGAAATCAATTTAGGTCCTTATATTGGGTTGTGAAAGACGAAAACCAATATCCGTGAAGACGAATTTAAGTAAGTTTTTTTCAATTTGCGGTTAAGATAAGCTATAGAAGTTTTAAACAGACTCATCAAATCCACAAACTCTACTTAGCATTTGTAACGTCAACATTTTCTTTGCCTCGGCATAAACTACCTACTTTCTAAAGTTGTTTATTTTTGGTTGGCTGATCGTTGGTAGAAAATTAGTTGCGATAGTTTAAAGCCCGTCCCTACACTATACAGTTGTTTTGTATTTAAGTAGTAGTGTCATTGTGAATTTAACAACTGAAACATGATTTTTTCAATGCTGTGCAATAATGTACAAACAAATGAAACCGAAGGTGTTATCTCAAAGCCAAGCCACCATAAATTACTTAATTCTGATTTAAAGTGGCTCTTACAATAACAATGAGATTAAAGTTAGGAAATAAGATGCGACTATATAATAGCTATGTTAGGGATGATATCAAGTAGTAGTTTGAAAACAAATGAACATGAATAACAAAAGGATAACCAAATCTATATAGAAAATAATTTGAAAAAATCCGATGAATAAAACATCTATGTTACGTTTTCGATGATTCAGTAACTATCTGTTTTATTCTAGACTGATATATACTAATTCAGTATAAAGATGATTGTACTGCTTTAGCAAATTACATCATAAGAGAGGAGTTTGGTTTTCATTCAATTGTTTGGAAATATTATGGCTGCACCTACTTTAGAATTCAATCAGGGTTAAGGTCTAGATAAATACGATATAGGTGATCAGTGAATTTTCATATTCTGGCCCTTATGTAAAATCACTTTGAATAGTTCAATGGTTACATTTATGACTGTGAATCTGAAACATATGGGTTGAAATCTATCAGGTTTTACCAGTTTTACAAATATCGTAGGTTTCTATAGATGAAAAGTGTCAACTAATGGGAGAAATAGATTTAAGGTTTCATGTCAGCTGCCATCAATTAAATAATATTGCAACTTTATTGCAATCTCCAAGACAGTGAAGACAAATAAAATAGTATCTTGATATCTGTGCTTAGTGACTTTATTATTTCTGCAATACAGTTGATTGATAAGTTAGGTGAACATAGTTATTCATTGCATTTAATTAAAAGGTCAAGAAAAAACATCAATATTTCCATTTTTTGTATGTTGACGTGAACGTATAAAGTCTGTTTGCAGTTAGGTGTCGAGTCCATAGACACAGATTCCAGCTGAAATATGTTTCAATCCTTGAATTGAAAAACATTTTATATTTCAGTCATACGCTTTTAAATAAATATAAAACAAGTCGAATTATAAATGTTATTATACTAAATATGAGATCTGAAGTTCATAGACATTTCTACGTGAATTGATGAATGCATTTTGGAATAAAATATTTGACTGAAACTTGTGTTAACGGCCGTCTAATTTTAATTTAAATGAATTAATTTATCTTGACTGCAGTGTGACAATCGAGGTAATCATAAATAGTTGAACACGTTTAAAGTTAGTAGAAACATACAAGTTTATATAGATTTGTGATGATAATTTTGTCAAAAAGTACCTTTTTTTACGAATTACATATGACGTATATCTTGTAGGATAATTGTGTAACTAATTTTTTAGCAATACTTAAGTACTAGTTAACAAGATAGAGTTAATAACTCACTTCAATTGATAACAGCTATTGGAAACATCAATAATTTTTTAGGTAATCATACTTTACAATCAGGAATGAAAAGAAAGAAAATTTGCATAGAAATAAGAAGATAACATTATTGGCCAGAAAAAAAGATTAAAATGTAGGACAAAAAGTAGAAAGAAATCTAGTTCTTATTGATTTTAAAGATTTTATGTAGATGCAGTCATTTTAGAAGTAGATCTTATCACAAAACTAACGTTAGCTAGAAAAAAGTTGAGAAATCCTAAAAAAACCACTGAATAGTTTGTCAGTTTTCCTTTAAACAACTTAAGGAATATTTACCTAGTGGCCCTATATAAAATTTAGCTTAAGAACACTGTATCCCATCGTGAGAACAGTATTATTGAGTTTATAGATGAAAATTTCAATGATCTGTACTCTTAATTTTAGTCAAGTTGTATAGTACACATCTCATTTGATATTCTTGATAATTTTGTGTTACTTTTAAGTTGATTAACGAAATGGCATTACAAAACTATAATGATTTCAGTCAAGTCTTGTTTTATTTTCATTGGTTCACAAAATGATATCATTTTGTGCTGGAATAATTTTTGAAATTAATAAAACCTGACAAAATGTTGAACATTTCACGAAGCATGAAATGTGTATTTATTTGGACGATTCTTATCAATTTCATGGTCATTCTTCGTGACTTGAGGACCAAACTGTAAAAAGCCAACATTATCTTGCTAAGTATAGATGACTACAATCTAAATACTAGGTTGGAAACTGTTTGGTTTGCTTTTTTAATTTTAGAATAGTTTAGTTCACATATAGTAACCGTGATAAAAGACATTTTAACGACTTTTTAACTCAAATAACATTAGCTTCACACAAATATCCATACCTAAAATAGATGTTTATTATTAAGTGGTGATATTAAAATTATTATAAGATGCCTCTATAAACTTAGCCAGATATTTAATGCTTCATCATAAAAAATAATAGAATCACAAATAATGAGCTGTGGCATATACCGTTTAATTATTTAGTGAGCCGACCATCTTTTAGGGGTAAGTTTTTAGATGTTGACAATTGCCTAAAATAAACTCACTAACACAATGAACTGTATACAATGCTATGGGGTTCAAAGAAATCAGGAAAAAAGTATGAGGGATGGACTTCTATTATCCTCAGTACTGGCTTGCAGAATATATTTCTTATGAATTTATCATTATTCAGCTAATCGGTGTGATATCTGTCGTTTCATGGTTATAATGGTAAATGTCCTCAATAGTAGTATATATTGGTAGAGTTTGCTGAATTTGTTAACGCTGAAATTAATTTTTACCCAGAACTAACAAAAGTTAGATAACCACCATTGTAGAGATTTTCAAGAAGATGAAGCATCTAACCCATGCTTTTTATTTGTTTCCCATTTGTTATAGATCCATTAGAAAAAAGAATTCAAACTGGATCGTTCATTATCAGTAAATGCTCGACAAAAATAATCTTCTACAATAAAATTGTGTTGTTAAAAAGTAACACACTACTACATACTTCTTAGCAATATGCTGTTTTAATACAAGAGTTTTGATTTTAAACTGATTACTCACAATATATAATAATAATATGAATAATTATACACCCTAATGATACAATTTATTCATCTCTTAGTTCAGTTTTCATATCTCCCTACTATTGACATTTCTCTTGTGTGTATTATCTACTGACCATTGAACATGTGGCTAAGTTAAATCCTGATATTTTAATGGTGATTCTGTGCTCAGTTCCTTTTAACATAACTTATGTGATTTTATTCATATTTAAGTGTTCAAATTATTTTTTCTCTGCATGAAATAATAATGAATCACTCTGTTTATTTCAGCAAATATTCTTTAACTCATATGATTTTGAGATGGTGGAGAAGATTTGTAGCTCAGGTGAGTGATTTTGATGTTGGTTTGTTCTCTGAGCTGGGTGGTTTGGTCGTGGAGCTTTCATCGTCCTTCTGAACGACATCATCAGCACAAACTTCGGGTAGAAGTAAAGTGTTTGAATTTCTCCACATGTGATTCACAGCTTGTCCTCTGCACCTCGATGTTGATCGGTTCTTATTGACCTTAAATTTGTCATTGTTTATTTCTTTGTTTTGGTTGTATCTCCTATTGTTTTGATTTTTGTTCCTATCTTCCTGCATAATTTTCTTGATTGGTTGATAGATTGCATTGATTTCAATATGCTTGTTTATTGCTGATTGACCTGAGTGCCAAGCTTCTGAAAATTCTCTGGTATTTTTGGATCTACTAAATGTTTCAGTATCCTTGAGATTTCTCTTGATAAATTGTACGTTGGTGTTCCTGGTAGTGCTACAATTGGACGTAGTGGAATGTTTGGTTTGTGTATCAGCAATATCAGGACTCATAGCGGAAGCAGTAATGCAACGACTAGAAAAATTCCAGAGAATTTTCAGAAGCTTGGCACTCAGGTCAATCAGCAATAAACAAGCATATTGAAATCAATGCAATCTATCAACCAATCAAGAAAATTATGCAGGAAGATAGGAACAAAAATCAAAACAATAGGAGATACAACCAAAACAAAGAAATAAACAATGACAAATTTAAGGTCAATAAGAACCGATCAACATCGAGGTGCAGAGAACAAGCTGTGAATCACATGTGGAGAAATTCAAACACTTTACTTCTACCCGAAGTTTGTGCTGATGATGTCGTTCAGAAGGACAATGAAAGCTCCACGACCAAACCACCCAGCTCAGAGAACAAACCAACATCAAAATTCTTTAACTCAATTTGATTTATTTTAATTGTATTGATGACAGAATTTTATATGGAAGACACGAATTCATGGTCTATGATAAACAAATATTGGATTATGAGATTATTCATCAGAATGATGATAATAGCTTGGTGATAATATTAAAATATACCTTAAATGATATCTATTCAGATATTACTTACCTTATCTCTAAGCGACTCAGTAAATGTAGGCGGTGTTCCAGTACAGTTAATTAATATTGCTCCAAGTACAAGATTATCGTAAGCAATCTGAAAAAAAGTTAGATAAACAAACAAACAAGTAAAAATGAGAACGAAGTGGAATAAATAATTGATATGACAATAGTACATTTTACTATTTAGTTTCTGAAAAGACAATTTATACCAAGCAACAAAACATCAAATTAATAAATTTTCAATTTGTTTTAATACTATAAATATATTATTGTTATTTTATCCAGATGAATGATTTATTGAAAGCTTAACTTGACTTGAGTTATAAAGTTGAACTTTGATAAGTGATATTAAGAATTAAATCTTTAGAACATATATAATATATGCATGTAATGAAAAGAGTATATTTTAATATCTAGTTTTAGTAAATAATACATTGATATACGCATAAGTATATATTTATATGGGACTCCTCAGTAGTGCTTGTCAATATTTCAGATTTTATTGTATTAAACTATAATTTCTGAAATATTTATTAGATTGTTACTTCAAAGCGATGATTTGAACATATAATTGTAGGACTTGGTGAGATTTGCTAAGAAATATATTTTCCGTTCAATTTATATTTATCTAACCTTTAGATGACAATTTTTAAACAAACTTCACCTTGGATTCCAACGTTTTTCTTTTAATTGGTGCATTATATTATAAAATTATTTAGTGTATCAATAAATCGAAAGTCTACTCTTTAGAATTGACGAACTGCTTCTTTTCGTGTTCCTTTTAACAGATATTTTCAGTGTTCATTACTCATAAGTAGTATAGGATTTCTTCAATATTCATTGTTAAATGAGAATAAACAATTGGTTCCTTATTTTTAGACGAAATATATAACCTCTCCTTCAATTTTTGAGCTTATTCATTAAATGATAAAATCAATGATTTTATCAATTAAAACAATCAGTAACTAAAACAATGGTTATTTTAAAAAAGCGTTTTATTTTAATAAATAAAGTTTTCAGTTTAATTTTGTGTTGTTTTTTTAATTTTATGAATTTTCCCTCCATTGTATCTCATTTAGAGATTGGCTTTTTAACATCATTATCTATAACGTGAATCTATTGAACAAAACGAAATGAAAACTATTATCCGGAAAATTTGAATGTTTATTGGATTAATATCGAAATTGAAATTGGAATAATTTTTATCAAATCTATTTCTAGTAATCCTTGTTTTACCATTTATTAGTGCTACAATAAATATTTCAAGATATAAGAGTCGCAATTTCATAGATCCGTCTATTCTTTATTTAACTGTATATCTTGAGCTCCAGTATTTCTTCAAACATAACTTACTTTCCAACCCTTTTGAATCATATTCTTAATGCTTAGTTTTTTAATTATCATTCCTACTACTGTAGTTCTATTCCTCTGAAATTCACTATGTTACTTTTCTTTTCATTGTGTTAATTTGGAATGGAAACTTGAACCAAAGCATATTTATTCAATGCTGGACATTGGCTTTAAGACTTGTTTACTCACGCCTGTTATCCCTCGTCCAAGAGCATAAACCGAACACCAGCACTTTCAATCCGAACCTGTTTTGGGCAATCTTTTCCAGCTCTTTCCAGTTCCCATTCATCCTTTTCATATCTGCTTCTATTTCCCAACGTAATGTGTTCTTTGACCACCCTCTTCTATGATTCCCCTCAGGATTCCAAGTTAGTGCTCGTCTTGTGATGTAGTTTGGTGGTTTCCTCAATGTATGTCCGATCCACTTCCAACATCTTTTTTTAATTTCCACTTCAGATGGAAGCTGGTTTGTTCTCTCGCACAGAAGGCTGTTGCTGATGATATCAGGCCGATGAATGTTGAGTATCTTGTATAGACATCTGTTTATAAATACTTGTACTTTTCTGACGATGGCTGTAATAGTTCTCCACGTTTCAGATCCTTACAATAGAACTAACTGTCTAGACGTTCGTATTGAAGTTTGTGACTTTGATAATGGTTGACAGTTGTTTTGAGTTACATATGTTCTCCAACTGTGTCCGTGCTTTGCCAACCCTCACATTTACTTCTCCATCACATTCTCCATATTCATCAATGATGCTTCCCAGGTACATGAAAAATTCAACATCTTCTAGAGCTTCTCCATCAAGTGTGAGTGGGTTGGTGTTCTCTCTGTTGTATTTCAGGATCTTGTTATTTCTTATGTGTATGTTGAGGCCTATTGATGCAGACAGTGTTGCTACACTAATCATGGTCATCTGCAGTTGTTCGTGTATGGGATAGGAAAGCTAGGTCATCTGTGAAGTCCAAATCATCTAATTGATTCTGAACTGTCAACTGTATTCTGTGCTTTCCCCTAGATGTCGAGGTATTCATAATACAGTCGACGACCGGAAGGACGAGGAAGCGGGAGAGTAGACAACCTTGTCTGAGTCTGGTCTTCACTTGGAATGCGTCCGTCAGCTGTCGTACATCCTCGACTTTTCAGTGTAGCCCGTTGTATGAGTTCGGGATGATGCTGACGACATTTCCAGTTACTCGCTCCATAGTGTCGAAGACGGTTCCATAAAGTCCTCCTATCCATACTATCAAGTGTTTTCTCACAGTGAATGAAGTAGATGTATAGTGATGGGTTCTATTACATGGATTGTTGAACGATGATCCACAGTGTCGTAATTTGGTCTGTTCACGACCGATCCTTAGGGAATCCAGCCTGCTGATCTCGAAGTTGGGCGTCTACTGAGTCTTTACCCGGTTCGGCAACACTCTTTTGAAAACGTTTCATTGTACTGACATTAGTGTGATGCCTCTTCAGTTCTCACATTTGATTGTCTTACCTTATTTGTCCTTGACACATGATGATAAGTTCAATGAAATCGGACAAACACTTCAGAAAAGTGGCTTCCCACCCGAGTTAATTGATAGTAATCTTGAAATGAAAGTTCAAGTTGGAAGAACTCTCACAATTCTGGGAAAAAATTTATTCTTAAACATAGAATTCAAGTAAGTACTTCAGCTGACATAATAATGAGCAGGCTGTCCAGATTCCCGAGAAAATGGTTTTATTCAGCAGAGCCTGAACTGTATTCTTTAGCAAGAAACTCATTCAAGGATAAACTGTCACTTTGGCCCACCTTACTAAGCAACTGTCAATTTACTTGTTTTTGTGGAGCGAATCAGTAATGGCCGTACAAAGCAAGCTCTTAGAAAATAAATATCCGAGAGCCACACTACATGGTTATGTAATGAAGAATACAGATCGACCGACACTTCTGTTTATGAAAAAATATTCAATTCTAGTCACACCTCACACCATGAATTTTCATTCACAACCCTCCAAAAAGTAAGACGTATTAGCTCAATAAAGGTTTGGATGATGAATTTGTGCAAAACCGAGGCTGTTGCGATTCAACATTTCAAACTCGAAGTCTGTGTACAGAAAAGTCGTATTGAGTCTCATATTCTTCACACGTCTATGAATTTTACATGTTGTAATTGCTGATTATTACCTTATTCTTTTCCTTCATTGAGCAGATTGTTATATTTAGCTTTGTCCTATAAATTTTTACCTTTTATGATTTCAGGAACTATTACTTTGCTGAAAAAGGCAACTTTTTTTTCAGTACTTGAAAAGTTCAATTAGATTTAAAAAACACCTTTCTATTGATAAATTATTATATTAAATACTTGAAAACATTTTTGAGAATCTTTACTAAATTATACAACATGTTCTAGAGTTGCTGACAGTCCCAAGCCTGAGTAAAAGAGGAGGGTTGGACATGAGATTGTAACCCTATTCCGTAGAAAACATTTTGCTAAAAAACGCCAACCAGATTGAAAAAAATTAGTTTTAAGAGACCGAGGTGAAATAAAAAATTGTAAAGAGATATTCAATCAATGGTATAGAATTGTTTTAATGAATGTATGCATGTGGACGAGAAATATTGTCTGACTATGTTTTCAGTGAACGCATTTAACAGGCAATTTGTTCATTCTAAAGGCAACTTTGCAAAATAACTAGGCAATAAATTCATTTGAACAAATGTCATTTAGATTGATCAGAATACTTTTTGTTCAATTCATAATTATTTTGATTCGACAGTGATTTCGGAAGTTAAAAAGAAATTCATATTGACTGTCAAATAAAATCTCTTTATTAAAATGATCCTAAACTCTTCTGCACATAACTTCATCTTGGAATCATTTATGTATTATGACCTGTAGTATCAGTTTATATGTTAAGCCCATATACTTTATTCTAGTTGCTGGCCAAGCCAATTCACCTTTCTGTTGAGTCATCTTTTGATCTTGTTAATCATTTGCTTATAAACCTTGACTATATTTTTATATGAGCGTATATGTTTGCACACTTCGTATCTTATCCATCATATGTCTGTCGCTCATTTCTGTCTGACTATAAATGTTGATTAACGCTTGCTTAAATCGAGTTGGCTTCCCAGCCATCTCCACTATGCATCATCTTTGCTTCGCTCGCTTACATTTGCTCATGTGCTTACAACTTTCTGGTCTGCATCATTTATCAATAAAAATGTAGTTGCCGCTTCCTTATGCCTTCTGATTTTATACACCGTTAAGATTGTTATAATAACGGTTATCAAGACGATCGATTAACGAAGCACTACTCTACATATTGGTTAGCCCGACATCCGGACACATAACAGACCAAGTAAATTTAGTGACAAACGAAGAGGATATGAACTGATAATGTCCTAGTCAACAACTAATATAATTTTTACCCTCCTCTCAAAACCTTATATTCCACTGAGTCATGGAATATCACAAGACAAAATTTGACCAGTGACTATTAAGAATAGACTTTATGAAAAAATGATACCTTTTTACTAGTATATTTTCTTTAAGTAGTTATTAGCTAAAATCAAATAATTTTAGCTTGAATGAATATCAGACTAAATGAATGTATAACAGATTTTATCAGTTTACAATCGTGCGATTACCATAGGGAATTAATCCACAAACTAGATCCTAATTTTTTTCTATTGATATGATTATTTACGATTACTGAAAAAAATGACATACAGAGATTTTATTTAGTTAGTCAGTTAT